AGGAGGCCGGCAGGGAGGGAAGGAGACCCAGAAACGCGTCTGTGTGCGTGTGTGCGTGTATGAATGGATATATGCACGTGAGAAAGACGTCTGAGCTATAATAAGGGGGGAAAAGTTTCGAGAAGTAACGGGATTGAATCGAAGAGGAAAGGTGGGTGCCCGGACGAATTTCTGCCTTCTTGCACCCATCTGTACCCTGCTGGACGATTTTCTCCACAACCCAATATTGTTGCTGGCAGAGTGGAGAAAAGTCGCCCCCCCCCGATTTACAGCTCCTAGAATTCCCACAATTGGTGGGAATTGTGGGACCCCCCTGGAAAAAAAAACCATAATATTTTCCCAATTTTTGCCTCTGGGATGGCAAGAGTCAGGAGGGTGAAGACCTCAGCTGAACGGGGTCCTCCTCACGCCCACCCCCCCCAATCCCTTTTCAATTATTAAAAAAATACATTGTCGTTGGTGCGTTTCTCGGTCCGTCCTGCAGCCTCACCCAAGTGGCTTGCCATAAAAAACACACAATTTTTTTTTGCCTCAAATTGAGTCCTGTGGCATTTTAATGACAAACACATTTATCCCAGTATGAGTTTCTGCACAATTCATTAGCTTAACGAGTTCGTAAAATTGGGACTCAATTTTAAAACCAGTGTTTAAAAATGACGCACTGAGAAAACTAATAAACTTAAGAATGAAAGCTTTACAGATTCACCCACAACAGTTGAAGAAGGGATAAAGGATTCTCGGGGCGTGCAATGAATTCCTTTTTTTTTTTTTAAACAAACAAATCATCCCCATCATTTCCGATGGATCTGCAGTTGGCCCAAAAGGGCTCCTGGAATATGATCAGGAACTTTTGGCTGGAAATTTAGCTCCAAAGGAAATTTTTATTTTACTTTAGCATTAAAAAAAATTGGAAGGTAAGCTACAGAAAGCGGTTTTAGGTTTGTACAATTGCCGTTCTTCCCATTTTACGCCCGGCTAGGCTTTTATTATTACTCTCTTGTTGTCCTGCTTTGCTGTTTTAAATTTGGATGTTCTCGGGGGCAGAAACATATCAGTTTGCAAAAAAATCCAGGTACCTTTGTGATGTTGTGAACATGGGGGAATGAGAAAATAGGAGGTCAAGAGCCATCTCGCAAGGGGGCTAAGAATTTTGAAAACGACAACATGGTGGGGTGGAGGGCTGCAAACCTGTGTTTGTTTACCTGCAAGTAGACCCCAGTTCACATGGTGGGAGTGACTTTTGCATCAATATGTGTGAAGGCGTAAGGCGACTCATGAGAAAGACAGTCCATTTCTCATCACAGAAGGGAGGTGCCACCTGGAATTTGTACGGGGAAGATGCCCTCTGCACATGGTCCCAAACACTCTTTTTCCCCCCTCCCCTCATTGTGGCTTCAGAGAAATATAATGCTGAAAGGACGCTCTCAGGAAAGCCCTGATTCAGGATGAAGCTTTTGAAAGTATGGCCGATGGAGATGGGCCATGGGGTGAGACCGGTTGGGCTCAATGAGAGACCCATGGTTTTATAGAGGTGTTTATTTGGGGCAGGCGACACAAGCTGTTGGGTTGTGGGTCGGAGTAGCAAAACCAAAGGGGGGAGAGCCAAAACAACCCCAAAAGGGGAGAGCCCATGGTTAGATGTCTTTTTTGGAGAACCTTCCAACTTCATTTCTGGGCTTGTCCTCTTAGGTTTTTAAGGATCAGGGAGTGTGGTGTGTGTGAGAGAGAGGTGGCTGCAGGATCTTGACCATCCTTGGAGGAGAAGCCTTTTCCCAAACTGTGGATGGGCTTTGCCTTTAGAAGCCCGCCGTCCCTGCCATCTCTCCTGAGAAGCCTTGCTTGTGGGCACTTTGGAAAGACGACCCCCTTGCCAGCTAAGCCTCGCCCTGGGTGAGCCGGGCTGCTGGTGTAGCTCAGGACCCCTCAAGCGTTTCCCTCTCCTGGCAGGTTGTTCTTTCGGAGGTAAGCTCTACGCCCCCGAGGATTCCTGGCATCCTGACCTGGGGGAGCCCTTCGGCATCATGCATTGTGTCCTCTGCTCCTGCGAACCGGTAAGTGCCATCTATGTGCGACAGCAACAACAATGACGATGGGGGTGCTGATGAATACAGAGCCTAGAGAAGCTTGTGGTAAAACTGTGGAGGGGGGAGAGCTGTCTACAGAGGTAGGAGGGGCTGTACTGAACCATTTTGGGGGGATGTTCTGCTTCCCCTGCTCCAATTTTTCCTTATCGTCACCTCTAGGGGCCAAATAATTTTTCAATGTTTTTTTTAAAAAATTGCTGCTGTGATTGGGTGGATGGGCGCTTCGAGGGATGTTGATGGCCTCTCAAAATAGGGCTAAATTACCTTTCCCACAAAGGACTTCCGGAGTCGAATATCTCCTCCCCACAAATAAAGGGCTATATTATCCTTTCCACAAAACACAAAGGACTTCTGGAGTCGAATATCTCCTCCCCACAAATAAATGTGTTGTTGTTTTTTTAAAAAAATTAGGATGTGGGGGGGCACACATGTTCCCCACTTGTGTTACAGAACACCCTTCATCCTCCTCCAGCTTAATTCTCTGGGATTTTGGTGGGGTAGAAGGAATTGCTGGACAGGAGACACCCCAAAACAAAGACTGATCAGTGGGAAGGGGTCCAACACGTGTGCATGCATGCACACACATGCATGCACATGCACACACACATGCATACACACACACACACATGTGTGCATACACGCACACACATGTATGCACATGCACACACACATGCATGCATGCATACACACACACACACACACACACACACACATTTTATAGAGGAGAGCGTTCTCAGGCTTTGGAACTCCCTGCCACTGGAGGCCAATAGAGGAGAGCATTCTCAGGCTTTGGAATCCCTGCTGCTGGAGGCCAAGCTGGCCCCATCTTTGCTGTCCTTCCACAAGCAGGCGAAGACTTTCTCTCGGTGACAGGCTGCCTGAGTAGGATATTTTAAATGGATCATCGCTTTACTCTTTCGAATGTGTTTTGATGTTGCTTCTGGATTGTTGTTTTTTACATTGGTTTGATCTTTCAAATACTTGCATATTTACTGTTTTTAGCTGTAAATATTGTCTTTTAATGACATAAACCGCCATGGGTCCTTCTTAAACAGAAAGGTGGGGTAAAAATATTTTAAGTTAAATTAAATTGAGAAGTAAGTATATAAGAAGTGCTATGCTGGGTTTATTCTGGTTGGAGCATCTTTATGGAGCTCAGTGGAGAAATGTGGAGAGATGCGGGGGTGGCTATGACAGAGCAGCAGACGGCATCCCCGTTTGACTCACCTGGCTGTTGCTGATGTGGCAGAAGATGTGACCTGTTTCTACCCCATTGCTCTGCAGCTTCCCTTAACCTGAGACAGGAACCGTACTCTTGGCTCAGAGCTGCGCCCCAAGCTAGCATCCATAGAAGGTCCCAAGAAGCCATCTTCAGTTCTTTCCCTATCCCTCAAGTGTATCCCTTCCAAAGCCAAGAATGCCCCCCTTTTCTGGCATGCAGACAAGTTACTTGTTCAGACTACAAACCCCAGAATCCCACAGTCAACATCTGCCCCTTTCCCAAGCAGTAACAGAAGATGCTGAGCAACTAAGGGTGTGATCACATAGGGATTCTGCATTATGGACCACTTGTGATGCGGTCCAAATCCATCTCAAGCTGGACCTTTTTAGTGCAGCTGCAGAGCTATGAGTTTTGGGGGCAGCCTCCAGCAATCCCGCAGCAAGTGGAAGGTTCACTTTAAGAGAGATTTCTCCCTGCAGGGTGACCCTTTCTGGTGGCATCCGATGAGCATCTTTCCAGCCACCTGATCGTATCCTAAGACAGGCTAAAGAATCTGGTTCTGAAAATGACCCTCCTCTTCTTTACCATCCAATTCCTTGTCTCCATCGTCATCGTTGTCTGCCCACTGCAGCCCCATGGACATTTTTTTCTGAATAAAGTTTTCCCAAAATGGGGATCGATATAGGAAGAGGCATAAAGATAATTGTGGCAAATGTTTAGGACCTGAGATGAATTTTTCTCATTTTTCCTTCTCCCGAATCCCACCCCTCAATTCTCCTCAATTCTGGTCTTTCAATCATACTTACTTTGAAAGGATAAGTCTAGGATTTGAAGGACCGGGAGGCTCAATCCGAGTTACCGAACACGGATTGAGGTGGGGACCAAATTCTCCACTTAAGGGTCGCTTTCCAAATTTAGGAAGAGGCATAAAGATAATTGTGGCAAATGTTTAGGACCTGAGATGAATTTTTCTCATCTTTCCTTCTCCCGAATCCCACCCCTGGCAGCTCCTCAATTCTGATCTTTCAATCGTACTTACTTTGAAAGGATACATCTAGGATTTGAAGGACTCAGTCCGAGTTACTGAGCACAAACTGAGGTGGGGAACAAACTTCTCCACTTAAGGGTCGCTTTCCAAATTTTCCACAATAAGGCAGGGTTTTGTGGGACCGAGTGGGGAGGCGTGGCTTCCTCGAGGGAAGAACAGGACAGTGTGGGGAGGAGAACATGTGGCCTCCCAAAGATGTTCTTGGACTGCCTTTCCCATCAAGTGCCAGTGCCAGGGGATGATGGGGCTTTCAGTAAAGGATCATATAGCAAGTTGTGTGTTCCCTGTTCCCTAGCATAGCGAAAACTTTTCGATGCCGTAGAGATCGTACTGTGGTCTCTGCAACCCATTTCCGAGTCTTGGTATAACAAACAGGTCAGACAAAATCCTGTATCCAGAGATAAATTCTCTGGCATATATTATGCAGATTTGCATATGACCGTTAATTGAGGATGGAGGGGAGGGTGGAGTATTATCTTTTTTTGTATGGTTTCTCCAGATTTTTTCCAATTAAAAGAGCTTTATTAATAACATATTTTGCCTTTCCTCCAGTATGCTTATGGTTGTATATGGCTGCTCTTACTTTTTACTCTTCTAACAATCCTATGAGGTAGGTCTGGCTGAGAAACCATGACTGACCCAAGACCTCCTCATTAGTTTATGGCTAAACGGTAGACTTGAACCCGCATCTCCCAAATCCAGTCTAACCTTTTCATCACACTGGATTATCTTCAGACCGGTTGCCTGTAAGCGGGAACCTTGCAACAAAATGCAGGCTCTCCGGCTGTTTGACAAGAGTATGTTCAGTCTTAGTAACTTGGTCCACGATCTTCTAGAATATATAAGCATGTTTTATAGTGATTTTACTTTCCCCAACCACAAAAAAAAGAGAAAAAGAAAGATCCTTGTGAAATGTCAGTAGAAGCTAAGAGGTAATAAAAATTCATCAGTCTTAACATACGGGGAAGAGTTTTTGCAAGAAATTCAGTAGAAATGCTTCTTAAAACTAATGAAGCCGAATATCAAAATATTTAAAGTAAGTTGTAGCAAAGGAAAGTGAGATACTACTCACAGATTTTTGTTGTAGTGTTTTGAATGTTTGGTTCAGGGATGTGTACAAGGTCCTTTAGCTAAGCAGCAGAATTGGCTTAAAGTTCCCCAGTTTAGTTCACCACTTGTGTCTCATCAATTGGCACATACAGTCTCAATAATTCACTCTGAGACATTAGTAGTGGAAAGAATCAAAACAATTTCCTTTACCATTTCCTTTACTCTTTACAAACTAACAAGACATGACTGCCTGCAGCAACAAGCTTCTGCAGACTCCCTGCCTGCTTCCAACAAACTAGAGAAGGGAAGAGGTTCAGAGCAGATAGACTGGGATCTCTTTGAATTCAGAAACAAGAAAGGAACGATTGACTGGTACTGGACAGATTGAAAGCCACCCCCAACCCAGAAAGCTCCCTCCCAGCCACATCTGCTAGAGGGAGTGTGTGAGGTTGCAAAAACTCTTCAACACCTTTTAGGTGCAATCAAACACTCAGCCTTCATCAGCTGAAGTAGAATCTTAGGTTTCAGAGCAGGTGAAGAAGTCCTTGTAGAAGAAAATGTTTGATAATAGCTCAGATCCTTATGTACAGCATCATTATTTGTCTGATGTTCCAGAGAGACAAACGGAACGGAGAAGTGCCTCACAGATCTATAGGGAGTTGAGACCCGTCAAATCCAGTCCCTTAAAAATGATAGAATGTAACTTGGACTAGTAGTAAGAGAAGCTTAATCTCTGATGCAGGTGCTGTACGAAACCAATCTGCAAAGATAGAAAAAGTTAAAATAAAAACACCCCTACAGCAGCCGTAATACCACTCAGCATAGCTACTGACAATTTATGGTCATTTTTAAGAGCCTAGTCTCACCTTCTTCATTGTCTTGAACCTCCATTAGAAAAGATCTGTTGAGGCCAATTGATGTATTGTTAAAAAAAAGGGGGGGAGTGCATACATTTTAAAAGATTACTGGAAATAAAAAACAGGGATTTGTCTGTGCCAGCCTTCTTGCACAGGGGTTCTGAGCGTTAGAAGCTCTAGATGGCGCTGTTGGTCAAACTCAGAACCTGCCACACAATACACTGACTAACCTATTCAGTTTTCATACTTGATTCTATATATGAGGTTGAGATTTTCCCTGGACTACCATTCCCAGAGGTCTCGACCCGGGCCTAGGGCTTCTGGAAGTTGTTCTTTTCCAACTATCATTTTATGTGACAATGCCCACTGAGGTCTCATCAGGCTTGGGTTCTTTGGCCAGGTGAGAGATGACAGTTTTGTGAGTTCGCTTCCTTCCTTTCTTTTTAATCTGCCCTTCTGCAAACGTTATTTATTTATTTATTTATTTATTCAATTTATATGCCGCCCACACTACCCAGAGGTCTCTGGGCGGCTTACAATAATTAAAATTCAATACAGTAAAAGATAAAATAATTAAAATACAATTAAGATACAATTAAAATTGCCATCAGACCCACAGCTAATATTATTTCAATTAAAAGCCTTCTGGAACATCTCCATCTTATTTCTCGATAACCACATTTTGTTTACCGCCTAGTGGGAACTTACCGCATGCATGTCCTCTTAGAAAGAGTGCTGGCTTTTGATTGTTTGGCTATCCCTGTTTTTTTGGCTACCTGTCTCAAAACGC